GCCACTTTGTAAAATCATATTTTGTGTTACCAAAGTTTGATTGATAGTATTAATTATTTTTAGCAAAGATGCGTTTTGTTAATTTAGTTTGATTTCTAACTTTGTTATAACATAAGTCATAATTTAATAAACATTTCGTAAAATATTTTTGATTTATTTATAAATAACCTTAGGTGTCCGGCACTCCCTATATTTATTCTCTCATCGAGAAATGATTTCAATTCACCTCAGATTAAGAATCTAAAAGTCTATCAGCGTGAATATGCATATAATTTCTGCTTAGACTTATGCAACAGTAATATCATTTGTGCGGAGTCCGTGTATAGAAGTCGAGTTCTTGCCAAGTCATGCAAAAAAAAATTAACAGAGCGTTACATGTGCATAGAATGCAATATCAACTCAATATGCAATGCATATACGAAAGATAATAATTCATTCGTAGGAACGATTTCTGATTTTCATATTATCATATCAGGAAGTGCGTGAGCTAATGGAATTAGGTTTTGGCGATAACAGAAGAAGAGGAGAAGCACTCTTTGGTACGGAGGAATTACAGTAATATGCAACCAGCTATGTCTTATTGAAAATAATAAAGTGTATTATACTATAATCCTGGTTCCTAAAGATTGTTGGTTGATAATTGACCTATGATGACAATTGTCTAAATTATTAGCTTAACTAATAATTTCATAGACTAAATTTGTAATATAGACAGGGAAAGATCAGGAGTAGGTCACACAATTGTTCTGCTATTGTATTTATGAAATAATCTTGATAATCACTGGTTTCGGATTCTTTATCAAGCGGTAAAAATATCAGATTTTCAATTGAGATTGTAGATACAATTTTTCATTAAAGATACAAAATATAGATATAAATACAAGTTTTATATAAGATATAATGTTAATTGAAATTTTTGTTCGAGCATTGGTACAAAAATAATAAAGTCAAAATACTAATTAAGTAGTTAAACAAGGACAACTATTTGGTTGCAATTGTTGCAATAATAAGAAATAAATACTAAATTTCTACATAAATTTTAAAAACATTTATGAGTATGTGATAATATCTTTGTATATTAGAATATATAAAATACATAGCGCAAATATTTATCGTTTGTTAGCCAATTAAAACAATAGACAGATTTTTCAAGTTTAAAAAAAATCGAGCAGGTTCTTTAAAATAGCTCAAATGTTTTGCTTAATTGAGCTTTAATAATTTAGCAATTTTAATATTATTGAAGAGGTCTCTAGATTCTTTCATATTAAAACTGATTTTATGTCAATATATTTGCTTTATATTAGAACAAAACTTGAATAATATAATAATCAGATCTTTGATTTTCACAGCTTCATTTAAATAGCTGAAATATTTCTGCAGATTGAACT